ATCCCCGACGCCCGGTGTGTCCTTCGCGATGGCTGGGTTGCGAGGAGGCAGCGCTTCGCTGCCTCACGCGTCCCGCCTCCTCCTTAGCTAGCATGACTGCTTCGCAAAAGGAGGAGACGGCATCCCAGTCCCCCTCGCTCCGCATCATGGCCTGCACTAGGCCCGGACGCGAGAGGTCGCCATCGCCGATCACTTCCCTGAGGGCACGGCGGTGCTCAGCCCACGCAGGGCATTCCGCTACGGTGTGTTCCACCGTGTCCTCAGGGCGGTCCCCATTTTATACCTACAGTTTAATGTTTCGTGCCAAACTTGTTACCAATATGAAAAAAAACCTTATAACAAGAACAAAAGTGTCAAAATCGAATAAAAACTATGCAGATTACAGTACATAATCACTAATATTTAAATATCTGTCACACGGCTACATCACGCTATGCAAAACCAAAATAAATTGAACGTTGAATGTGCAAAAAGATCATACTAAATGAGACCTTGATATAATGGTTTTGTGTAGCTGCATATGTTTAGTAAATGGTTTTTCAATACCGTATCAAATAAATTGGTATTACCAGTATCTATAAACAACTTTATTGGTATGATATTGTAGAAGCCCATAGTCATAAGGCTCATTCCGATATAAGCAGTATTTTTGGCCCAAAGGACCAAAAATAAAATCCTGGAAGGACTGTTTTGTCCTTATTATCAACTGTCGTGGTTTCTTTCCTACTGGTTATTAACGAATGAGTTTAATCATTAGACTTAAGTATTTGTCTAGAATATTGTTATTTATTTATCATATCATGTTCTCTATGATATTGCTAGTTTTAAGTACTCTCCGTTTGAAATAAAATTACCAAATCTATCTGCAGTTAAACCAACTGATTTTGATACTTACCACTTTAGTAATAAAACATATGAAAACTGCAGAATTGAACAACATTACATTTGCTTTCAAGGTCATCCATATTGCTTATAAAATAGAAATCAAAATCATTTGAATGAAGTGCAAATTAATAAATTTGTAATTTTTTTTCAAGTGGAGCATGAAGGATTGTTTAGAAAAGGTACCATCACAGAGATTGGACAAAAGAAAAGGGACACTATGTGTATGTCGTAAGTTTCAAAAAGGCTTGGACATAAAGACAATGTAATTTTTATCCCGGAAAATCACGGTACAACAAAACACGCGGGAGAAATGCTTGGATAGATAATAATCAGTATTTTATACGACACAGAGACATTGTAATATTTACTGATGACATGGTTTCTATACAAGATAATCCATAGATAAAAATACAGAATACAAAAGGTTTCAGAAGTGCTTTTTCTTATTATAAAGTAAAATAAAGACCTACACAAAGATGTCCCAAGCACACCAAAACCCAAATAAAACAATGTACGGATCACACAATTTTAATCAAATATTGAACTCTAAAATATTCACAATAGGAACTACTTTAAAACGTTGTTTATTGAAGCCATTATTAACAGTAAGTGTTCTGATGTCTCTAATTTAATGTATATGTATGTATTTATATGTACTTATTTATCAAAAATGGGTAGTTGCCTATACTACACAGCCGTATAGGGCCTCAACTCTGCTATTATAATAGTGTCAGAATAACACCTCCTATTACATGGGACTCATAACATAAATAATGAAACGTGGGTGTTACATTGTACAGTGGCATTAAGTGCCGAAATATGCACCTCTGCCTTCGGGAACAAAAAGGCGTGATGTTATATGTCAGAATGATCTATCATTGATTTTGATAGTTTGGTAATCTACAAATGTAATGCGTCATTGTGACTTTCCATTGGTCAACCACTGACACACCATTGAAAGTAATAACACAATATGGTAATATCGTATATACAGGTGATCGTTGAGGTAGACGTGTTCTTGAGTGGAGACCACGACTAGGTAAGCAGTATAAATATAGCATCCTCCAGCTAAATGGTGTGAGAATGTCCTATGTGGCTAGCTGTGTTTTTTTTAAATGCTCTACATTTGTATTTTCTCCTGTGTCGTGGGTGCGTTTACAAACATACCGCAAGCTCACATACACAATGACACCCAGACCTGAAACAACAATTTGTGGATCACACAAAGTATTGTTACGTGAGGGAATCGAACCCGCGACACGTTGCACGGCAGCCGGTTGCCCAGCCACCGCACCAACCGTGCAGTCGAATTGGTTGCGAAGGGCTGAAGATCAAGCTCATAGGTATGTTATTAAAGAAGCAGTATTAGTGTTCAGCAGGAGACGTACCTAAACAGGCTGACACAAATAGTAGGCAACTACCTTTTAAAATGTAGTAATTGATGTCACAAACTAGTTCTATCCTTTCTGATATTCCTATTATTCAGGATTTCCTACTGTCATCGAATACTACTCATTTATGTGTTTAGTAATATAGTGCCAAAAAAATGTAATTAATGTTGTTTTATTTGGTCCTAAATCTCTCTCTCTAAATCATATAAGAAGTTTTGATTAATTACCTAGGTAATTTACCACTTTTTTATGGAATAGGAGGCTAACGAGCAGACGGATCACCTGATGGTAAGCGTCGCACCGGCCACGGACTCCTTGTATTGAGTTTACGACGTACCACTAATTATTATCAATTCATACACTAAATCTTTGATTATTTATTTCAAATTATTGAATATGTTTAATAATTCAGTAACTTATTTTTTTAATGAAAATGCTCTTAGTAGGTATAAAAGTATTTTGTATATTTAAAACAGCGCCATCTACAGCCGCATAAGTAAAATATTGTAGGTCCTTCAGTACGTAATGTTATAACATAACGCCATCTATGTGTTTAGATACGAATTTTGTCGTCCTTTAGCGTCAATGTTCAGCATACAACGATAGAAAGAAGTTCCAGTATGCAAGCATAGATGGCGAAGCTTTATTTACTTTTAGTTTATCAATTGTATTTTTAGCATTTCGTGAGGTAATATATTATCTTGTTTATAATTATACTGTGTTTATAATTATTTATCAACAGAATCGTTCCTTTTTAATCAGATTACTAGGAAATAGCCAATGAAAGTTATACATTTATTATTTATTTATTAACTAGCATCCGCCAGCGGCTTCATTAGTATTCATGTAGGATTAAAAGTGGCTTATGTATTCTACCCATGTTCTAAATATCATCATCCAACCATTTTGACGTGAAGGAGAAACGATATAGGTAATATAGAAGATTTTTTTAAGGGGGAAAATCATCGCATGCCTTTTCCCGCATAGGTGAGACGAGAGGGAGTGTGGTTTTTGGTTTCTTACTGACTAAAATCATCCCGTTCCTACTCTTGTACACACGGCCACATATCAATCCATGCAAAACCAGTTATCCTGGTGTCGCGCCGCATCATCTTTCCGCACATTTAACGTACAGTTTATACTATTTTTTTATAGTATAGGAGGCAAACGAGCATACGGATCACCTGATGGTAAGTGATCAGCGTCGCGCATGGACACCCGCAACACCAGAGTAGACACAGGTGCGTTGCCGGCCTTTTAAAAAGCAGTACGCTCTTTTCTTGAGGGTTTGAAGGTCGTATCGATTCGGAAATACCGCCAACGACAGATCATTCCACAGTTTTGCTGTGCGAGGCAGAAAGCTACGTGAGAAGCGCACAGTTGTGGCCTGCCAACCATCTATATGATGGGGATGCATTCTATATGCTGTCGTGAGGGTCGGTGGTTATGTAAGGCTCGATGTGTAGCCGTATCGTTGAGACGGAGTCCCAGTAACCTGTTAAGTTGCCGCGGCTCCGTATCGGCATTAGGCCTTAATATTAGTAGAATAATTTAGGTATTAAATGAAGTTTAGCATCACACCTTTCAGTTCTCTTGGAAGTGATAGGTAGTGGAAGATTTACAATGTAACACCTACTTTTTCTCATGATATGAATCCCATGTAAAAGAGCGCTGAGCCTAATGCCATACACTGGGCCTATGCCCGAGAGAGTTTGGGACTGTTCTCAGACTCGCGGCTACTTTATTTAGTGCTTAGGAAAACTACAGGGAAGTTTTAAAGAAAAAAGGAACAAGGACCAATAAAGGACCAAAATCGACATTTAATACGTATTCAATATTTTTATTAATAATAATATTATGCTCACAATCTAAGTACAGTGTAATTAGCTACCAAATAAATTAACTTCTGGTAATTCCTATCGAAATAGAACGATAAAAATCGATATATTTTTTTTTACAATTCGATACAATTCTCTAGAATATGCGTTACAAAAAAAAAAACAACAATAAAAAATTATCGTTAAAAACATTTCACCAACTTATTTGTGCAGACGGATAAAATTGGAACTAACAAAATCCTAAGCATAGTAACTTGTTTTACAAAGAAACTAGCGACACTCGGACTACACAATTAACTTGGCAAAAATTTAAAATTTCTGTTTAGTGAAATTTAAATGTCAATTTATTTATATTACACGTCAAAATAAAAATAGTATGTATAAAAGTGACTACGTTTTTACATAAAGTAGGCCTTAGTTGATACACGCTTACATTAATTAATAATTAAATATAATTACATTTATATATTTATATTCATAATTTATACAGTAATATTTACATTGAAATCTATTTACACCGAAAACACTAACAGATCATTATAAAAATAAAAAAAATAACCCAAAGGTAAAAACTATAAAAATTATAAGTACATTTTATAATATACAAACTAATGGTAAACATCACAATATTATAATACCTAAATACATTGATTTCTTGTTAAATATATTACATATTCTTGGGCAGTTAAAATGTTTAAGTTTATATATAAATTGTCGACTTATAAATTATAATTAAAAAGACAGGCATGTTATTAATAAGTACTGATATTAAAAACATTATTTTATATTAAGTAGTATGTCATTATTGCTCAAAAATATTCGATATTTTGAAGTAGTAGCTTGTTCAGCCCTATTCCTATCACTTAATGAACAGAAATAAGTTTTTTTCAGCGATATTTTTAGCAGACTTTACAGTAAAACTTTTTACTTTTTTTACCCAGTATCGACATTTTCTTTCGAAGCTATTGTCAATCTAGGGTTGGCTCTTCAAACTCCTCACTCACGTCAAACTGCCATCCTTAATTCACATTAATGGTGTATATACAATATAGACAATTTTCTCGTGACGTCAAACGAACAACAAATCATACTGCATAGCATTTCCAGGCCTTAAGAACTCAGAAAGCTTATCTTCATAAAAACTCCTGCACTCGAAGCCAGAAGGTGCTATATCCACTCACGAAACACCATAGAAGATAGAACAGTATTTTCTTTTCTATAAAGGCTATTATAGGTTGATAGTTTTGAGCACTGTCGTAGTGCTTGGTTTAAGTGACACGGCACTAGGGGGAGGGGGGGAGGGAGTCGTCACTCTCAAGGTAGGTCACGTAGTTGTCCTCGTGCGGCGCGCGCGGCGGTGGCAGGTTCGGGATGTCATACCCGTGCATCTGGAAGATAATGAATTTCTTTAGTAAATATGTTATAGATTAAGGATAGAGATAAGTTATAGATAGATAGATAACTAGATAAGGTCTAAGGCATAGTAAGACCCCTTTAAGAAGTGTCTGCCCTTGATCAAACAGAAAAGAGCTGAGTTAAGAATAATAATTTTTACTTTGCTTCTTAGTATTATATAAATACCTATGTATGTAAAATTTCTTTCAAATGTGGTACAGAATACTTTATATATACAGAATACTTTAGTCTTTTTAATACGAAACTGAAAACTCTTTAGTCAGACTTGCATCACATATAGGTACATACATTATAATTTTCAAAGTACGACTCAAAGGACCAACTAACCTGGTTGACAAGCTGTTGGAACGCAGCACTATGTTGCGGTGCCCTGTCCAGGTCTGCATGCAGCGCGAAGTCGGAGAGAGCCTTCCAGGGTGGCTGGTAGGCGGTCACCTCCAGAGCCAGGGATCCAGCTGGCTCATGCCGCACTGGAGACCCAGCTACCAGTGGTACTCCCATGGACATGTACCCGAGACGTCGGCCTTCCTGTGGCAAATTATAAGTTGGGACCTTCGACAATAGAGATGGTTGTGTTGTTACTATTGCACATTTTTTTTCTATCTTTTTGGAGGGGAGAAAATCATCAAATTGGTCCCCCTGGGTGAGGCGGGAGGGAAGAGGACTCTTCGTAACTAAAAACTACCTCGTTCCAACCCCTGCCCATACCAGCACCACGGTTTATAGGTAGCTTCACTTACAACCATTTTTGGACAGACTTATGTATAGATTTCATTAATCTCTTAAATTTTAAGGATCCCTTAAGCTACTGACACTTAGCGATGTTTTGGTTTTCACCCTCCCCTTCCCTAATCTCCCGAATCCCTGAATCCCCAACGATCCTCAAACTTCCAATCCCCAAAAGGCCGGTAACGCACTTGTAACGCCTCTGGTGTTCCAGGTGCCCATGGTCGACGCCGATTGCTTACCATAAGGTGATCCGTCTGCTCGTTTACCGGCTTATGGCATAAAAAACAAACCACTCTCTAGGTTACAGTAAAGTTTAGTTTACGTGCTCGATCACGCTAAGTAACTCTAAGTTAAGTGGTTAGTGAAAACGGCCACAAATCTCACAGAATATATGAAGGAGTACATGAATGTCATATATGAAGGAGTACACACCTTTTCTTGTTGCATCTGCATTTTGAGCTGCATGGTTTTCTTTTTGTCTTTGCATCGTTTATTCTGGAACCAGACTCTGATGACCCGTGGACTGAGGCCTGTCATCTCCACTAGCTGTTCCTTCATCAGCGCGTCAGGGCGGGGATTAGCGGCGTAACAAGTTCTGTTAGTTAAAATTATACAGGTTAATAAGGCTTGACAGCAACAGCAAACTATGTAACTAGAGAATAGTATTGTGAACCTGATTGAAAAAGAGTAACCTATGGAGTTTCTTGCTCGTTCTTCTCCATAGGAATCTACACCTTGGAATGAGCAAATAGCTTCACTTTTAATTTTATTATTGACGTTCAAAAGTGCCTTTCTGGTCTAATTGAAATAAACGATTTTGACTTTAACTTGAACTAGAATCGTTTGTTGAATCTATTGACATCAGGCACTATTACTAGAATAAGAATAAGGACCAGTATTCCGTATTCATCGAAGGTATAGGAAAGAAGAATGTCATATTTATACCTAATAGCATTTTTTACAGAATATTTTTTTAAGTTAAAATTCGCAATGTCGCTCAATACTCTCATAGTCCAAGTTAATTTTATTTGCCACTTTTAGTTCTTATTTATTGCATCCAATTAAAATAGAAAAATTCTTACCTCAATGTATGTAACTGTTTCTCATTCAGCACGGTGCGCACTCGCGTCGGTTTACCATCAGCCGCCGCAGTAGTGCGCGCGCGCCCGCTCTTATGCGACCCTGACTCACTGCCCGAATCTGCGGAGACAAGGAAATCTGACTTTTAATAAAAATCTATACTTTTAATCGCCTGAACTTCTTCTATATTAATAAGGTAGATCAGTGTTAACGAGTCTGGGATAGGACAGGGAAACAGTTCCCTTTTATTTGGGTCCCCAGTCAATACCCTACACATCACATTCACATGAGCCATGCTTCGACTCGAATGGGCCGGCTCGACCGGAGTAATACCACGACCGAGTAGAAAACAGACGTGAAACAACGCTTGCGTTGTGTTTCGTCATGTGAGTGAGGAGGCCATGCCGGCCAGGCCGGAGGCCCATGGGCCCATGGTTTTTCGGGTGTCCATGGGTGACGCTAATTGCTTACCATCAGGTGATCCGTCTGCCCGTTAACCGGCTTATCCCATAAAAAAAATTTAGACATCTATTTTATTAATTTTAACATACACAATATCAAACAAAACGACTTTTCTCTCTCCTACATTACTACTAATTTTAAATTTAGCTGTGTCCGACAGGGTCCGTAACAGTTACTATTGTATTTAATCTAACCACCTGTACGTGTACATTATGGATGCATTAAATACTTGATTAGCTAGAACAATAGTTTCTGAATCAGGTAAAAAGTTGGTCTTTACGAAATCAGTGTTTCATTTTGTGTTTGATCCGAATAAAATATATCTAAATACACTTATAGGACACACACCAATGGATTTCAGTGTGTAAATTATTCCATTGGAAGTCCTTTTCTCAAATGGTCAAGGAACATTTCTATATCTACTTTCATTTTTGTTGTTTTCCTTTAATTAGATGGTTCACAGATCTGGAAGCTATTATTCTTAAGAGTGTTAAATAAATAAAGAAAGGATCGAGTTAGTCCCATTACAAGTATTGTATAATAACTTACTGAGACTCAATGTTAGACAGATATTGAAATTCTTAAGATAATAAAGAAATTTGAATTTGAATTTAACATAGGAGATACAGGACAAACCATTATTCGATATGGACAAAAATGAACATTTCTCTAATTATGCACTCCGGCACACAATTGAATCTCCTCAAACAACATAATGCTACAGTATACAGATGACAAACTTAATACAACAGAGGGTCACTAAATTCCTGGATTAGGGCCCCTGTCCATACGATCCCCAATTGACACCTTTATAATCCCACTAATACCTTTGTACATTTCCAATTAGAGCTAATTATTTCAACTTCGCACTGGACAGTGCGAAAGGGTGTTAAAATTTAATTTTGAAATTGACCGTTTAGAAAGGGGTTGATTTGAACTAGTCCAATGATCTTTTTAAGATGGTTTCTATGTTACTTATAATCTTATAATAATGCTTGCTGCTGTATTATATTTGTATCATTCAAGTTAGACAATCATGATTTTATACGAATATAATGTCGTGGTAGCCCGGAGGTTTAAGACGCCTGCTTCTCATGCATGAGGGTGCGGGTTCGAAACCGTTGGTAAGCGGCAAGTACCAATGTGACTTTTTCCTAGTTACATGTACTTTCTAAGATTATTTAGACACCACTGACAAACGGTGAAGGAAAACATCGTGAGGAAACCTGGGCTTACAATTTCTAATTATTAGTTTATAATCGCCAACCCGCATTGAGCAAGCGTGGTGATTAATGCTCAAACTTCTCCGTGTGAGAAGAGGCTTTACTCAGGAGTGGGCACTTATAGGCTGTTGATGAATGAATGATGAATGAATGCACATTAAATGCTAAAGAGGTTTATTGTTATTTGTTTACATGTGCTGTGCGCTCTAAATTGCGTAGTTTTATATCAAACGTTATCAGTAAGCGAATTATTTATGTGATTCTTCATGAGAAATAAAGATATTATTTATCTAAGATGAAGGTTTACCTAAGAGTTGTTAATTGTCAACATAGAATAGAAAATGTCAAAATTTTCAACAGTAATTTTATTAACTGTTGGGGCCATCCATGCCGAATGATCTAAGCAAGTTGGTATGTAGAGGTGCAGAATGCAACCATTGTCTGCCTTTATCTAGATAAACGTACTATTACTCAGCTAACCAGAAATATCAGTTTTCTAAAGCTTATAACACAGATACGCAGTACTATTTATATCAATGAATCGTTGACAAATTGGTCCTAAGATCCGACAAAGCATTAAAATTGGTCCTTCGTGTTTCCATAGGTATCTCCTCGGTAGATACCGAGGATAAACATTCATTATCTGTCTGAATCGTTAAAAATGGTGACAATGCCAAGGAAGTTATATCACAATGATAAGTTACTTCACTGATAACGTCTGTTTTGAATGGAAACCTAGATTAATCACAAATTAGGACCAAAAAATAAAAGTGCCTACTAATGCTATCACACCTCATCTTTACCTATCTCAGACCCCGAACTAGGTTTAACACATTTTTTAATTAACCCGATAACTATTACAAGCGACTAACTCTGTTCGGCAATATCAAAAGAGTCGGTGCCTTTGTCGGCGTAGTTCAAAGGCGTTATCGACAAATCACGGCATGATCGCGAAACGATTATCGATACTCGAATTTGTAACGATAATATCGATAAGGTTCTAGTAATCGCGTGTACTTATGATATGAAAGATCTAATATTGGTTGATGTTAAGATTGTAGACTAAAGTTTTGCGGCGGATTCGTGCGTTATCGCTATTTACGTGTTTGATGTAAGTACGACCTTTTTTTGACGTGTTTTTTTGGTTTTTTGAGGCCATGACTGACTTCTTTGGTTTGTGTGGTGATTGGTAACAAGCTCAACAAGGTTTTAAGTTCATTGGTCGATTTTGATTTCTTAACTGCAATAAAGTTTACACTATTAGTTGTGAATTCAAAATTTGAGTTTTGTATTCGGAATTCCATGACTGCAGCATGATATTGTTTGTGGTTTGGGTTTTTCGACCTTACGCGCTGGTAGAGATAGAACTAAATATTTCTGGTCAAGCCTCCCCATTAGATCCCTAAGAATATGTAGACACTGAAGTAACCTTATTACAAGGGTTACATCATTAAACAACTGCCAAAATCAATCTTTTATTTACCATTTCAGAGAAAAATACAAAGAAAAGTTCAGTACAGATTTTCTGCCTATTTTTCCCTGTGGTATATAACTCGCTTAACTTGTATACCTATCATGTCTTTATGTACTAAGTTTTTATAAAAATTTTTGTGTGACGGTTAAGTTTTTCTTTATACAGTTGTGTAAATAGTTTGAACATGAGGCAGGTGGCGCTTTAAGGCTTGAGAATGACGTAAGAATGTACTAGTATTTCATAATACATTTTTTCGGTATATAAATCGATGGAGGACTTGGTATATATCAACAAAAAAGGAACTAATTTCTATAACTAATTGTATATGCTTCTTGAATTTCTTTCTTAAAGACAATTAAAAGTATTTAAAGACTATCTGCTCTTTAAATATAAAGACACTGCTTCAAGGCAGCTAGATGCAATAATATCATATGAGAACAATGTGAAAAAACCTACTGATATAAAAACATATATAAGTCGTTGTTGCTCACATACTTATTCATATACCTGGGCAACTGTTGACGGATGATGTTAGTTGTTGTTGTTCAATGTAGTAACGTTAACAGCTGTTGACGTAGATGACAAATGACTCACCAGACATAGACCCGAGTTCATGTGGATGATGTGAGTTGTTGTTGCTTAATGTGGTGTTGTTGTTGCTCTCTGCGTTGCCACTCGTGCCACTGCTCGCAGTCGCGCTCTGAACAAACATATTTCACTATTTTTAGACTAATTTCTTACATGTTCGCTGGTACATAACGAGGATTATTGATAGGTGATGGTGTATCTATATGTATATAACAATACATTATTAAATCTATGTTAAAAACCGACTTTAATCCCCATGAAAGTCGGTTAATTAATATACCTTCTCCTAATTGTAATAAATACTTTTATGGAAACCGAATGAAAATCAGTTAAGCCACATAACATGACATAACATCACGCCTTTTATCCCCGAAGGGGTAGGCAGAGGTGCACACAGAGATAACACCCACTTTTCACTATTTTTGTTATGAGTCCCAGGTAATAGGGGATGAGCCTATTGCTATATACCGGGCACAATTCCAGACTCCGTGCTAATACTGTAATTTTTTTTAAACCCAGTAATACTTTACCCGACCCGGGAATCGAACCCGAGACCCCTTGCCTGGTAGTCGCACTTGCAACCACTCGGCCAACGAGGCAGTCTCAGTCAGTTTAGCCAATGGCGAGAGAACCGTGCTCAAACATATGTATATTCAACGTACAGGTTAAGCTGAGAACCTCCTCTATAATCTTCCTGAATTCGGTTTAAAATAATTATACATAAAATTTGACGAGATTACGCCGCTGTTAGACAAAAAACTTGTAATAAATTACGCAATTTAACTAAATAGTGCTACATTTTATGGTGGTTTCAGTAGTCTTTAGGGTTATCAAAAGTCCATTAGAGCTGTTCAAAAGCAATTTAAAAATTTTAAAGTCACTGCTGCAAATTTTCATATTGTACCTATTGTAGTTATAATAATTTATAGAACCAACCTTTTCTAACACATCGTGGTCTTCTCTGCAATATAAAGCCCCTCCTTCTCGTAACGCGAATTCGTCACCTAAAACAAAGGAATTCGGTTAGAATGCACATTTTTCACTCCAAATAAGGCTTGTGGTCGGCACTGAATCTTCACTAGAACTGTAGCTAATAAAATAATTGACAACGTTTGACAAGAATTTGATATTTTCAGTTGCTCATACACGGAGTTCGTAAAGGTAACGATGTTGTTAGTTCTTCTTGATGGATAACTGCAAGTACCTGTGTTATTACAATGTTTATTATATATTTTAGTATTGAGTGACCATATTATCGTATTGGGTGTAACCTGTTAAGATCTGTTGATTTGATTTAAATAAAATAAAAATACTCTAGTTTATTATAAGCAAGTTAGGTTACTACTTCACTTTGCGGATTAAAAGACCGAATTGTCTATTAAGAATGTTTACATTCTGGTCCTTTGTTATGAAAAAACATTTCGCTATTTCTTGCGAATTGATAAGATAAATAAAACAATGTAGTTTTATGAAACGACATGTATTTTTATTTTATCTGAACTAAACTGTTTAACACCACCATGACAGGTTAAGAGAAAAAGAATAAGACAGGCTTGTTACCAACTAAGAAAAGTAGAAAAGTGAAATTACATTGTATATTTTCAACACGAACTATTGTCATTGACTAATTTGGTCCTTTGAGTCGAAAAAAATATAGAGTAATAATGAGTTAGGTACATACAATCGACTAAGTTGGCGGCAGACCATCATTAGGCGATATTCGCATGCACCCAGTGCTAGCGACCAAAGGTAAAACGCCTGGTGGAGCAGTTACATTACCACAGGATTTTGGATTGGATTGGATTAACTTTGCCGATAGTACGTATGAAAAGTGTAAGGGATACAATACTCACCAGGTATAAGTTGTCTCGCACAAGCACAACATCTAAAACAGTCGATATGATAGATCTTTGTCTTAGCTCGCATCACGAAGTCATTCTTGCTAAACGACGAGCCGCATTTGTCGCATTTTGTACCAAATAACCTGAGGACAAAGATGCAAATTCCTTTAATCACTTAATCGTAAATGGGGACAGAATTTAAAATAAACTTCACATCACATTTTTTAACAGCCCATGAGTCTATTGCTGGACTAAAGGTCTTCTCTACACAATAAGGTTTGCCAATACCTATATCTACGCCTGGCCATTGGATTTTTTTATGGGATAAGCTGGTAAACGAGTAGACGGATCACCTGATGGTAAGCAATCGACGTCACCCATGGATACCCGCAACACTAGAGGATTTACAAGTGCGTTACCGGCCTTTTGGGGATTAGGAATTTGAGGATTGTTGGGGATTGGAGAAATCGGGGAAAAGGGGAGAATAGTGCCTCCGGTAACCTCACTCATATGACGAACACAACGCTTGCGTTGTTTCACGCCGGTTTTCTGTAAGGCCGTGCTATTACTCTGGTCGAGCCAAACATTCGTGCCGAAGCATGGCTCTCAAAGATTGGAAATTTAAAAATAAACTTAACACATTTATAGGTTTTATAGGTACCTAAATAAAACCGCGAGGATTTTGAAATAGTACCCGCTAATATAAGGCGTGATACGTGATAATTAATTATGTCAGTTTTTTAATATTTATTTCTTTGTAGGTACATATTATGTACAAAAAGGGAAAAATACTTTTTTGTGTACGGAATAAGTAATCAAACCTTTTGCAAGTAAAAACAGCGCATATTAAATAAAAAAAATACACAATTCAATGATGAATCAGTACCTACCTACATGTATTAGGATTCCCCGTATCTCTAACTAAGTACCTAGTTTGAAGGTATACCTCATGCGGGAATCGAAGCGTGACCCTGAGTTCAGTAGTACGCTACAATTATCTTTTTATGTAGATAACTAAGGGGAATTTCCTTGTAAAGTATTTCCTTATATTTTTCCTGAAGTTTGTGTTATGGATTTATAAAAAAATAGAGTATAAGTAATTATTTATGGTTTATTAGTAGAATGAAGAATATTCTAATTAATAAATAGACATTAGATGGATGGACTGAAAACTATAACTAATGAATATAAACCTTTCTACCACACCTTGCTTTTAAACGTAACCGTAATGGGACTAAAGCTACCGAATCAAGTTACTTCTAAACAATATTTACTAACTCATTCATCAACAAATAGCGTCAAACGATAACCATAAAACGAAAAACAAAAACAATAAATCTCAAAACACTAAAAAACAAAAAAAAAACAAAAAGTCTGTTCAAAAAAAGTTTCATAACAAAATCGAATTAACATCAATCAGCAACTTCATAAAACTGAAATAGATTGCGGAACGTCCACGGTGGTGCGATGTCGATGTATTTTTAAAATCCACCCTGTAGGGAGGGGTCATCGACCGGGAAAAGTTGCCACCCCCGGCAATCCCGCTAAAAGCATCGCCTATATCTATAGTATACCTGTATCGTATTTACTTTGTAACTATAGGTATGTTGGCAGCCTTGGATTCCGTGCTTTCATGTTGGCACAATTGCCCGTCTCGTTATGTTGGCAGTATGGCCGCTTTTTTATGTTGGTATAGTAAAAAAATTGTTCTATTCCGTAATTGGATTGTCGGTTTTTAGGAATTACGTATATGTATGGTTTCATTATGTTATTGGATGGGTATTTTGAGTCGTGTGTTAAAATAATATCAATATATCTATGGTTATTTGACATGTAATTTATGGTCAGCTTGTTTGTATCGTCTATTTTGATAGATTGTTTTTTTATAGACTTCTTGCTAAAGATAATGGTCATTTTAGAATTAATGGAAAGTTTCCTACTTTGGTATGGTTCTACTTAATTTATTACAACTAGCTGTATAGCTATTTATTTATGTTTTTATAATTATAGGTTTTGATTATAGTTCACAGATACACAAAAACTAAATGCACTAAAGTAATTTGCACTGCCTTGTTGCCCGAGTGGTCGCAAGTGCGACTGCCGGGCAAGGGGTTTTGGGTCCGATTCCCAGGTCAGGCAAAGTATCTGGGTTTAAAAAATTCTCAGTAGTAGCACGGAGTCTGGAATTGAGCCCGGTATATGACAATAGGCTCACCCCTATTACATGGGACTCATAACATAAATAGTGAGAAGTGGGTGTTATTTTGTACAGTGGTATAATGTGCACTTATGCCTACCACTTCGGGGATAAAAGGCGTGATGTATTAAAATTATTGGTTTTGATTATAGTTCACAGATGAAAAACACTAAATGCACTAAAGTAATTTTACCCCTGTATATTTCCAATCGTTGCAAATATCCCAGCGTAAAAATATAACGAAAGAATTTATCTTTATTAGTATTGATAGTATATTTATGTTAGACTATGATGAATTAGGAACTTGTCTATCATACTTATCAACATATTATCGACGAACACAATGATTATCGCGGTCCGATAGTAAGGTAACATTATTTGCGATTACTATCTCTTTTTATGGATGGACTTTTTGATAGTATTTGTTTACGTAATTGGGGACGAAATGTTTGTATCTCTTGGTAATTCGTAAAGGGGTAGATATGAGAAAATATAATAATGACGTTACACCATTTTCTGCTTTCTGGCTTAGGCACTGTACTTTGCTACTAGGAATCTACACCTTGGAATGAGCAAATAGCTTCACTTTTAATTTTTTTGTTGACGTTCAAAAGTGCCTTTCTGGTCTAATTGAAATAAATGATGTTGACTTTGACTTTGAACCACATAGATAATGTAACGTATGATGCTTTATGTAATGGCAAGTAAGCCGTAAAATGGTATATTTTACGGCTACCGCACACAATTCCAGACTCTGCTCTATCACTGAGTATTTTTTAATACCTGATATATAAGGTTATTAAAAAACCATTAATAAACAACTGACATCAGAAACATAAACTTTTGTTCCTCAACTGTCCAATATTTATCAAGATTTAGTTGAAAACCTTTTCTTTAAAATAAAATGTCCAAAAGAGTGGTTTATGTCCCTGAAACGCACCGAACTTCATTATTCTATGGTTGTATCTACTGCAGATTTTGATTTACAGTAGATGCACATTTTTTGAGAGGTTGTAGTGGGGTTGTGGCAAAAAAACACATGATGCTGAACTTGGACAAAGCTTCTGGTCCTTTTTCCCGTCTCTTGGTATCCTAGGACCACACAGCCTCGTCAACCATCACCAGGACATGTCACTGTAAATAGCATGTAAACAGTAACGCGATACGCCAACGCAGTATTAAGTTACGCTAATTGACGCATGCGCGCGGGAGCTACGGGATGCGTATGCGAATTCATTTGGTTATGTTGGCATTATTGATTCTTTATTTATTTATTTATTTTTAATTTGTTTTTTTTTATTTTAGTCAGAACTGTCAGTGTGTTCGAATTTGGAATCGGATGGATTAATTTCAATTTCGTTTATTTGGTATGTCGAAATGTTTTGATTTAATTTTGACGTGTGTTTTTTCAGATGTGGATTTCGTGGACATTTCATTTCCCGATGTATATGTTTTTTCGTAGACAAAACATCGGTAATTTATTTTAGGGGATTAGAAATTGATATGTACCTAAATTTTTGTTTTAAATTATTAGACTGCCTCGTTGGCCGAGTGGTCGCAAGTGTGACTTGGGTTCAATTCCCGGGTCGGGCAATACTATTATTACTGGGTTTAAAAAAAATTCTCAGTAGTAGCACGGAGTCTGGAATTGTGCCCGGTATATGGCGATAGGCTCACCCCCTATTACATGGGATTCATAACATAAATTGTGGAAAAGGGTGTTACATTGTACAGTGGCATAATGTACTCTGCCTATCTCTGTGGGGATAAAAGGCGTGATGTTATGTAGGTTTTAAATTATCCAGCAAAACATGTCTGAGATCAAATACTATTTAAAAATTGTTAAATTAAAACATCCTTGACAGACAATAAAAAAATAAATAATCACACATTTCTTTTATTCACGTTAAAAGTAAACCAATTGTAACCCTAAGATGTTTACGTCACAACTTCCCATAGGAAATCCTGGTACGGTACAAAAACACTACAACATATGACCCGGTCATTTCCTCAAAATGATTGATGATAAAGTACTCACTACAACAAACATGTGAAATGAAGTATTTTCAGTACATTTCCTATATTTACCACTGGGATGATGGACGCGGTCGCTTCGACCGGTGGTGTAAACAATCCATTTCCGTCCAACGCTAGCGTTTGATGAGTTATTTATAACGTTCGATTATATTTTAGTTTTATTTTGATTATTGTTTTGGTTTGTGAATACTATTCAAATAATTATTATTTTAAAGAACTATAATATCCTTTAGTCAATGAAATACGCTTGCAGAATGGATCCTATGATATTTCAAAGCTTTGCAAAGTGTTTCTATTTTGAACGGCAATTTTATTTTGATTCCAGTAAAAACATAGAGTTTATAAATGTGTGCAATGATATAGAAATGAAGGGATTTTTGCAATACTGATACTAAAAGTTGAATGAAAGGAACATTTACCTACGTCGCAACTAGTCCAAGCTGACCCTCGATAATTTAATATTAAACGCTATTAGAGCTAGGACATCCATCTATGACAAGGATTGGCTGCAAATAAATAAATAATAAACGCTCCTTGTTCCTTGTAAAAAGACCAAAGAGAGACATTGCATTGCGTATTTTTGCTAAAAATACTTATTATTTCATTTGTTTATGCAAACGATACTGCGGAACAGCTCTATATAATAATACTTATTTACTACATAGGTGATTAGATACTACGTTGCCTATTCCAAGTGTGGGAGAGCCATGCTTCGGCACGACTGGGCCGGCCCGACCGGAATGATACCATGGCCTCACAGAAAACCGTCGTATGAGTGAGGTTACCAGAGACCCAATTACCTCCCCCAATCTCCTCAATCCAATAATCCTCGAATTCCGAATCCCCAAAAGGCCGGTAACGCACTTGTAACGCCTTGATGTTTCGGTTGTCCATGGGCGACGCCGATTGCTTACCATCAAGTGATCCGTCTACTCGTTTACCGGCTTATTCCATTTAAAAAAACCTTGTCTATTAGCTACCTTTACATAATACGAAATAGGTACACTATTGCGTCACATACCTTGCTTATAATTACAAGGATTGAACGTAAAGTTCTAAGAAAATGATAGATAATAGACACATGGACTATGTAGATTTTTAACAGTGAAATCGCTGTAGATAAGGACTTTGAATAAAGCGGCTACCCGTAGTTAGATTCTAGGAATTTTATTAAATATCGATTGTTTTTTTTTTAATTCAAAGATGCCGACTTTTGTTCTAGTTTTGTCTATGTGTAGATGTTTAGCAGATTATTTTTTATTTGTTGATTAAATAGGTTGACTATCGTGGTTGGAAATCTGAAGACTTATTTTGTTGCGTAGTAAATCAATACTACATATTACAAGTGCCTTTTTGTGTCTCAAAAACTATTACACGAAGTTTTGTTCGTTTTACAGTTAGGGGAAGTGTGATTGTTGAGGAAGATTTAAGTGTAGGTCTACGAATCTACGGGTATCTAATAAACTGGCTAGGTATAAGAACATAATACAAAGGTGGCAAAGGTGTTCGAGTCTGCTATTCAAGCCAGTGTGCAAAGACAGGTGCAGGCGCGGTTAGCGGAAGCGCAGCACGGGTTTCGGCCGGGGCGCAGTACTGCCACCAATCTACTTAACTTCATGGCGCGCGTGGTGCCGGCAGTGGACGCCGGGGTGCAGGTAGATGCCGCTTATTTCGATTTTAAAAAGGCATTCGACACGGTTGATAACGACATACTGCTCAGTAAATTGGCGGAGATTGGGTTTACGCCACACCTGTTAAACTTCTTCGCCAGTTACATGAAGAACAGGCAGCAGTATGTTGACTACAGGGGTTCCGAGTCTGAACTATATTTCGCTAGGTCTGGAGTAAGTCAGGGTAGCAACTTGGGGCCATTGGCATTCATTATAATGATCAACGATTTGCCAGAGGTAGTCAAGCATGCACTTTGTTGTTTGCTGATGACCTCAAGTTGCTGCTGGAAATTAAAGATGTATCAGATTCTGAACGTCTTCAAGAAGATATACAAAGAGTAGTAGATTGGAGCCAGAAGAATAGACTACATTTTAATGTGGAAAAATGCTCCATGATGACATTTACTCGTGCAAAAGCACCAATACAATATGAGTACACGGTGGAGTCTGTACCAATGAAGCGGGCTGCTCAGGTTCGAGATCTCGGAGTCATAATGACACCAGACTTAACCTTTCGGGGACATATTATTAAGGTGTGTAAAAAGGCGTATAGGAACTTGGGGTTTGTACTGAGGCAGACACAGGGGTTCAATAGGATATCAACGCTAAAGGTACTTTATGATGCTTTAGTCAGAAGTCACCTTGAACATAGTGCGGTAATCTGGGATCCACATGAAACGAAGTACAGTGTCATGTTAGAGAGAGTCCAGAACAAGTTCACAAGGCACTTGTACTTCAAGCTGTATGGTGTGTACCCTTTTTACCCTTTAATGTACCCGACATTGTTTGTACTGGGCATGGTGGGGTATAGTGAGCTGAGAGTGCGCAGAGAATTTACGTTAGCTGCTTACGTGGTGAAGTTATTACGGGGTGTGGCACATAACCCGGGAGTGCTGCGCCACCTGCAGCTGTGTGTGCCCGACCGATACGTGTGGAGGCGACATCGTCCGCCACTGCTCGCTGTACCGGTGGCCAGGACCAATCTTCTGGCCAAGACCCCGCTCACACGAGCCATTTGCACGGTAAATGAGGTTCATGGCCGCATTGACATATTTTCGTGCAATACGAGTGATCTAGTGAGAGTATTAATTAATATAAGTGCATATAATAATACGTTGCAATAGAATTACCAAACTCAAAATTGTTTACTCTCTCAAAAAAGTCTCGAAGTTATTTCTTTGTTTTGTACTGTAATAATAGTTTATGTTAGTAAGTAGATACTGAATAGGTGTTAAGTAAAATATCGTTTATGATTCATTGTGAGTATTTAATTTTAAGTGTTATATATAAGAATTTGGTTTTTATGATTCTGTTACTCAGTAGTTAGAAATGTTAAACAGTTAAATTTGTATAGGAAAATTTATTGTATTAGTATATAGGTATGTATAAGTGTTAGGTTTTTATTTTAATTATAATTAGATAATAAGTAATTACTAAAAGATGTGGTAAGACTGATGGCTACACTATCGTATTGGAATGTATGTATCTGTAATGGTAGTAGTTAGTGCATTAAATAAATAAATAAATAAATAAATAAATAAATAAATAAATAAATAAATAAATAAATAATAATATATGAGGTATTTCAATATTTTTGTTATTTTTGTTATATGTGTTTTCAGTTCCATGTGTATGTGTTTTTTTCTTTACAAATCTCAGGATAAGAAAATTTATAGTTAATTGTTATACTTTAAAATAGATAAGAAGTAAATATTCAAAGAAAACTAGTTAAAGTTATTTTTTTTTTAAGTTCAGATCTGATAATGATCACGGTTGCTTTCGCATTAATAATTTAAATCCGAACATTGACCAGTGGAAATTAGAAATATAAATTCTTCCGTTAATCAAAAGTTTACAAAAAGCCTAAAACTCTCGTCTAAAAAAAGATGGCGTTACGTCAATCAAAAGTCGGGCGCCACTTTGTACACACAGACACCAAAGATGAAATTCACTAAAATAACCTCTAATGTTTATCCTTTCACCCTTCCATTTCTCGCTGCTAAAATATAGTATTACACTAATACAAACAAACAGAAACGATTGGTAAAAAAAATTCATAACCTCATACACCCTAACCTAAAAGTAATAAAGACTAAAATCGAATGTAAGCAACAGAAAATACGTTTTCACAAACAGTAAAATGTGTTGGTAAAGTCTCACTGTGATGTGCCGAAGTGAAAACAAACGGAGCTCAACTCAGCATTATGTATTTTGGCGCCAAAACAAACGTCAGTTTGACAGCGCGGCGGGCGGCGGGAACACGATCTGTGTTTGTTCCCGTTTACACCGGCCGGATAAGCGGGTTTTCGATTACCGATGTTGTGTTGTGATTTTTTCTTTTTTTTTTTGTCACGATATTTTTTTTAGAAATGTGAAATTAGTGATCGCTGTTAGATCTGTAATGAGAACGTGTTTTGTAGTTTTAATGCTACGCTTTGGTGAGAATATTGGTGTCTTCATTTGACTGGGATATGAAGATCAATATTTGATCGATCAACCGACAACTAGCATTTCTTATTGAAAAAAATATTATTCTTTAATTCTTGATGGCTCTATCTTTGGACATTATTTTTCAATGTTTTGACTGCAAACATACAGAAGTGGACGGTTAAATAAGTGAGGACAGTTTTAGCCATCTACTGCCTATATTATCTAGGTTTTAAATACGTTGCGGCCAGTACATACATTACTGGTGCAAGCAAGTTAAGCTAGTCGGTAGTAGGTAGTTCTTGTTCTCTTAAGACGAAAATCGCTAGTCTACGAAAATCGATAGGTAACTATAAGTCATATCACATAGATTTACTGGAAACAATATGTTAGAAACCTGTTTTAGAGGTGTTGGAGTCAAATAAGCGGGAGCTCATCAAATATCTATAGTGTTTCAGATGTCCATAGATTACCTAAATGAAGAACTACTTTTCTTAAGGCGAAATGTAAGCTAACATACCTCTTCAACAAATAGATTATCATTAAAACTATTATGTATGTGCCTATGTTAACGTTATTTCGCTTGTATCGGACCCGAAATATTTTTCACAGCAGTCCACTAATTAATCACTGCATGAACTTATGTCATTCTATGCACTATTGAAACACTTCTACAAGTACACGTATTTTTTTTATGGGACAAGCCCGCCTCATCCTCCCAAAACCATTGCAACTCCTTTAAGTTACTTTAATTGGTTTTTGTTCTCAACCGTTGTGACTGTAATAATAAATAAATAAATAAAAATAAATTTAAGTCAGGATCTACAGTAGATACAAATATGAAAACACCGGAACACTGAAGTCCGGCGCGTCACAGGGACATGAGTAACTGTCTTGGTTCCCGCACCGAAGTGAATCAGAAGATATTATAGGAGGAGAAGAAAAAAAAGAACACCTATACCTATGTCTAAATGGATTCTACATTTATCAATAATACCCCGTAGAATTAGAGAAACACATAAACACTCATCATCAGCCTACAAGCGCCCTCTGCTGAACAAAGGCCTCTTCTCACATGGAGAAGGTGAGCATTAATCGCCACGCTTACTCAAAGCGAGTTGGAAGATGAGAAAACAAGAGAAGAAGAGAGAAGAAGAAGTCTTACCTAGTATAATCCCTCTTGCAATAAGTCTTCCCATCTCTGACGAAGCAGGTACAGGATTCGTCGAGAAACTGCCGACACTCCTGACACTTCAGACAGGCTGCGTGCCACTCCAGGTCGGGGGCCACCCTCAGGATGTACTGGTCGTGGATCTGACCACCACAACCCACGCACAGGGAGAGCCGTAGCTTTTCTGTGAAGAGAGAAAAAGAAGAATTAATTTAATGATGGTAATAGACATAAATAAAATTTTGTTTTCTTTTTATAAATTAGGTACTATATATTGCCTCACTCTAGAATTTTTTCCCGTGGCGTGGGTGCGTTTACACTCTTATTATATTGTGTTATTTTATTTAAGTATTGTGGTAAAATTCTATTGTTATATATATATAATATATATATTGTTTCTTTTGGTTAAGTTTTAAAATGAGGAAGTACATCTTTATCTACAATATATTGCATTGATTTTTGGTAATTAGTTGTAGGTACTTATGAAAAAAAAAAGGTCAGTTTATACAACAAGGGTTAACAAGGTAAAACCATGGGGAAAGCAAGTGTTTTACAGGTATGACGGGAAAAACAAGGATTTTATATGCTTAAGAAATCGCGGACAAAGGTACCTATATTTTTTATTGATTTAAGCATACTTTACTTAGATTCTTTTTTATATGTAATGGGCCGATGTTTGACCACTATCTCGTCTAGTGGTAAGCGATGATGCGGTCTACGATGGAGCACGTCGTCCCATAAGCAACCTATTCACTCGGATTCACTTCCCTTCAGAAAATACAGACTCTGGCAAAGAACTTAGATAGAACTTGATGCAATTAAAGGTATGTAATATAACTATACTTACTTAAATAAATTGGTTATTAAACTTAAAGGATGTTATAAATGGTCTAATATAAAATATTAATGGTCTTGTAATCATTTACAGGCCTAGTTCTACGTAGTTTTACCTCAAAAACAAGGAAACCTAAATCAAATTTATGTATATAGCAAGCAATTTATGTTCCATCTCCGTTACCTACTATGTAAGAACATAATTAATAACAAATTGTAAAAGGAAATAGATAATTACAAAGTCTAATAAAATATTCATTAATCATTTTTAATGAAGATTTAATTGACTTTTAGGAATTATTTAATGACTATGTAATTGCACCCAAAATATAGATTATACTTAGCATTTTTTTGGAAATAACCCTCTGCTCGCATGTTATTCGTACCGGGGCCATAATAACTGAAATTATGAATAAATTATAGCTGTGCGATCGATATGTGGGCGTGGTAAAGCGCCGCCCCTCGCCTAAGCACTGCGATAATCTAGTCGTCTCTTTCTTGGCTGTTATCTCGCTCCCTCGTAGAGGTTGATGTTGTAATTGTAAAATGTCAGGTGGTTTGAAATTGAAGTGATGTTTATACGTCTAGACCACACGTATAGAGCTTGTTAGACCTAGTTTCTGAGATTGGGGGCAAATGCTTTGTATCTTTGTGTTGTGTTATGTTTATTGTCAAAGTTAAGCATAGTTTCTTTTTATTCTTCTTTTTTTCTTCTTTTTAAAAAAGTTGCCCTACACTAGGATTTTCTCCTGTGTCGTGGGTGTGTTTACAAACATACAAGTTCAAATACACATGACACCCAGACCCGGAACAATAATCTGTGGATCACACGAAGTGTTGTTCCGTGCGGGACTCGAACCCGCGACACGTTGCATGGCAGCTGGTTGCCCAGCCACCGCACCAACCGTGCAGTCAAGTATTGTAAACATGTTGATTTTTTCAGGAAACGATCATTTATGAAACATATATGTATAGGTAGGTAAGTATACATATATGATGTTAGCCTACTACTAAATTTTGTCCATCATTTTACTTGCAACTTATTGAGTCTGACTGTTTACCTAAGGACATTTTTTTCATTTTGTCTGACCCGAGTTTTAGCGATCTAAGTCAAAGGCAAAGAATTTATTTCTATTAAACCATATAATTTGATACTTTTGAAAAATCAATAAATACAAAATAAATAATAGTCTGTCAGTCAGTCTGTCAGTGAAGCTAGGTGAAGCCGTTAAATGGGGTTCCCTGACTGACGATGTTAATACTAATAATGTATTGCCAAGTTGGAAATAATTTATTAAAGCAATAAGATATTTACAATGGAATTAGGTACATTAATTAGATAATACATTTTATTCTTAAAACAATTTGAAGATCAATGAATGATTGACAACCATTTTGTTTTATATAGATAAGTATGTCCCGTTATGATAACTCTCATAAAGATTACGAAAACAAATATAATTATTATACCAAACACCGAGAAACCCAACTTCAAGCCAAAAGAAATTAACTGAACTCAGTATAAAATCTTACATAACATAACATAACATCACGCCTTTTATCCCCCGAGGCAGAGGTGCAAATTGCGGCACTTAATGCCACTGAACAATGTAACATCCACTTTTCACTATTTATGTTATGAGTCCCATGTAATAGGGGGTGAGCCTATTGCCATATACCGGGCACAATTCCAGACTCTGTGCTACTACTGAGACTTTACATACAGGCTAGTCCGGCTCCACAGGATAACAAAAAACACTGATGTTTTAATGAAATTGTAAATGATACAGCCATTTTGCTAAATTGTATATTGTTTAACTTAGATAACCATTGTGAATGTGAGAGCCCTGTAATTAACTTAATATTAAATTAGACTAGTAGAATGCATTTGTGTCAGCGTGGAGTTGTCATGCTCACTCAAAGGTCTCATTGGCGGTGGCGCGTGAAGTGGATCGCTCGATTCCCTACAATATGGTTGATTTGGGCGGTGCTGGTGTACGTGTCATGTTCGTGAACGGGCGCCGTCAACTGGGACTGGTCAGCTCCAGACTGTATTATTTATTGTCTTTAAGGTTATTTTTTTTTCAATCACTTTGACTAGATTTTAGTGTTACATTGTTCTCGCACAATCCAAACAGCAAACTATGTAACTGGACAATTGTATTGTGAACCTGATTAACCTATGGAGTATAACGAAAAAGAGTAACCTATGGAGTTTCTTGCTCGTTCTTCTCCATAGGAATCTACACCTTGGAATGAGCAAATAGCTTCACTTCTAATTTTATTATTGACGTTCAAAAGTGCCTTTCTGGTCTAATTGAAATAAATGATTTTGACTTTTGACTTTTGACTTTTTTACTTTTGACTTTTATTTTAAATTTCAGTTATACTTTGCCCGAACCGGGAATCGAACCTCGAACAACGTCAAGTCAAGTCGAGGTACAAAATCTTGTAACTAATTATAAAAATTTTCGGCTTCCTCACGTAATTATTTGTCGAGGAACTCTTTTTGCTAATTGCACTCTTAAATAGCAAGGATTACGCACATCCCAGAGTCCACACACACAAGTAGCTACATACAACATGCATGACTTCGTCACGCTCGGTGGACGGTACACAATGCGATGCAACCAAGATCTGACCGATAGCACAACGCCTTTATTTCTGTATAGAGGTTGTGATCAGTCAAACGGCTAAGTCGTGAAGGATTTTCGTAATCGGTCGAAGAAGAATTTTGCAATTCATTTATGCGTTTAAGCATTGGTTGTTTTTTTGTGTTGAATGGTAGTTTAACTGGTAAGTAAGAGGTCACACACAGGTTTGGTTCGCGAATCGGGCACAGTGTTATTGATGACTGCCTCTTTGGCCGAGTGATCAGAAGTGCGACTGCCGGGCAAGGGGTCTCGGGTTCGATTCCCGGGTCGGGCAAAGTATTGCTGGGTTTGTTCAAAAAATCTCAGTAGTAGCACTAAATCTGGAAATATGCCCGGTATATGGCAATAAGCCCCCTATTACATGGGACTCATAACATATAAAGTGGTTGTTACATTGTACAGTGGCATTAAGTGGTGTAATGTGCACCTCTGCCTTCGGGGATAAAAGGCGTGATGTTATGTTATGTTATTGAGGTTTTTCAATTTATTTCAGTAATAACAAGGTTTTTAAAACAGTGCCTCAAACTCAAAACACAACTGATGTATGTATGAAAAGTAGGACTTAAATAGCGAAAAACACGAAAAAAGTTATATCCGATCCAGAAATCGAACCCTGAGACCTCTTACTCAACAGTTGCTTTAGCAACCGCTCAAACAACAATAACCAGGCAAACAATATAAGTACATTGTCTGTATAAATACAACCATAATTAATTTAAAAAACGCATCAAAATTAAGTAGCTGCCTATGTTACTAATATAGGCAAAATCCATAAAAACCACCTAGAGCTACCTTACACAGCATATAACATAAATTAAAAAGAGTATAAAATTTTAATGAACACATTTATTTAATTGGTAATTAACTGTACGTTGTAAGCTTTGGCGGCCGGAATAACGATCCGTTTTACTGAGCCACGCCGATATCGTTACTCTGGCCACTTGAGTAAACTTTGTACAGAGACTTAACTATTTTTAAACGTTGCCCTATGCTTGGATTTTGTCCTGTGTCGTGGGTGCGTTGACAAACATACAAGTTCACATATAAATGACCCGGAATAAAAATTTGTGAATTACACAGTGCCTATCACACCCATTCCCAGTTCCCTCAAATCCCCAACAATCTTCAAATACCTAATCCCCAAAAGGCCGGTAACGCACTTGTAACGCCTCTGGTGTTTTGGGTGTCCATAGGAGACGCTGATTGCTTACCATCCGTTTACTTACCATGCTAATTTACCGGCTTATGCTTATCCCATAGAAAAAACAAGAGAGGTACTCTTCGTGGGAATGGAACCCGCTACATGTTACACGGAAGCCGTTTACCTACGTAGTCTACCATGTACCTACTAGTGCAACTATGTACAATTTTTTATCTGTAGGATCAAAAAAAGTATCAGAAAAGCCATAAATGTTGCATTAAGTTCAAAATGTGGTCTTCAAGTGAACCTATTAATTACGATGCGTGTAAATCATGTATTAATAAACCTTAGGCCGTGATATTAATAGAGACTTTAAGTGTTTACATTTTTACGCAATTAAAATCTCGGGTTGTAAATTAAAAAAGGTTCACGGTCGATTTTGCCAACGCCAGATAAATTTAAACTGAGAAATAACTTTGAAATTACTTTTCTTCTATATTAAAAACTGTGAAATGACAATTTTGTGTACAGTTAAATATTAACTCATGATTAAAA